GGATTCACTTCCCTGGTAGCAAACACCCAGCAAGTTAATTAAAAGGGGCTCAGCATTTAAACCACCATCACAGTTCTAAACAGAAGGAGAAGAGCACGTCTCTCCCTATCACAGCTGCTCCTAACTCTCTTCCACTTCTATCCCAGCATTTTGAAATATTTCCCAACATGAGACTTGCTCCCAGGGTTGCTCTGCTGCTCAGGTCAGCTGACCATCAGTGTGAGAGAAGAGGAGAACAGCCTGTCCCTCCTGCTTACAGTGGGACACACCTAAAGGACACTGAAGGCCTCCTGGTGACAAGGACAAAGCAACTTGGAAATCATCCTTGGAAACGCATGAGTGCATCCCAATGTAAAAATTACCAGGCAGGATGGGGATGACATCTGAGCCATCTCCTCCTTGAGCTGCTGGGTGTCACGAATACATGATTGATCCAAATGGGAACACACATCGAACGACCATTAACGGAGACCTTACAGGGCTTCGTTGCCCCTCCTGGGTGGTGTACCTCCCAGAGCTACGAACACGGATTGTTGAGGAAAGCATCAGATGTGTCTGAGCAGGCTGGAGAATCTCAGGGTCCAGGGGCCAGCGGGAAGGTCTAAGAACATCAGGTCCCAGAAATCTTTAATGAGCACTAGCTGTATGCCACGCACCCACAGCCTAGGAGATCCACAGTGGGCAAATGCAATAACCGAAATCAGCTGGCTTGAATTCCCCACAGCTCCCTTTAAGAGTTTTAAGATCAAAGCCCAGGAAATGACTTTGTGTTTTTCTCCCAGGAGACTTTGTGATTCCAGACTCAGAACATGACCAGCAAGAGAGCTGTCACAGGAAGATGGTGCTTCGCTGTGGGGAGTCCTCCTCTCTCGACCTCAAGTGAACTCCTGCCCCATCTGACACTCACCCTCTGCCAGCACCATGTAAGGCTGGAGCTCAATGCCTCAGTGAACGTGAGCCAGGTGATTTTCCATCCCAAGCAGTTCCTAGCTATTGCCACCTATACCTCTGCAAAGAGCACCAAGGTCAGGGACAAGGATATGGGACTTCATCAAATGACCCCATAATGGAGCACTAAATGTAGCAACAAGCTAGTGGTAGCAAATCATCACAAGAAAAAGTCATTATTACCATCACTATCACCATCACCACCATCACCACCACCTCCTCCTCATCATCATCACCATGAGCCTCATCACCATCATCACCACCATCATCATCATCATCACCACACTCATCATCACCATTGTCATCATCAACATCATCACCATCATCACCATCACCACCATCACCATCATCACCATCATCACCATCAGTGTCATCATCACCATCATCACCATCACCATCATCACCATCACCATCACCACCAGCGTCATCATCACCATCATCACCATCACCATCGTCACCACCATCATCATCACCATTGTCATCACCACCACCACCATCAACATCACCATCATCATCATCATCACCATCATCAGCAGCATCACCACCATCATCACCACCATCATCACCATCTCCATCATCATCACCACCAGCATCATCATCACCATCACCATCAACATCACCACCACCACCATCACCATCATCATCATCATCATCACCACCACCATCACCATCACCACCATCATCACCATCATCATCATCACCACCATCATCACCACCACCACCATCACCATCATCATCACCATCATCACCATCACCATCATCACCATCACCACCATCACCGCCATCATCATCATCACCACCATCACCATCATCACCGCCATCACCATCATCATCACCATCACCATCACCATCACCATCACCATCATCATCACCGTCATCATCACTACCACCATCACCATGATCACCACCATATTAACAGCAGCAAACATGTAATGAACAGCTGTTATGTGTCAGGCAATGACCACCTGGCATATACTATCTCACTGATCTTTGCAACATTATAAGGTGGTTAATTCTGTAATTCCCACAGGCACATTCTGAGGCACAGAGAAGATAAGCAAGTTGCCCAAGTTCAAACAGCTAATACAAGAGGAAGCCAGGAATTTGAAGGCAGACACTCTTACCCACTGCCCTAAAACTAGGAGAGACTTTCCAATCACTTCACTTACAGGGTGGTCTCTGGGAGAGGGGCCGTTTGATGATTCCAGCAGCTACCCCACGTAATATTCACTCCTGAGGGATTTCAGAGTGCCCCGAATCTCCAGCCATCTGCTTTTCTATGCCCACCGATATCTGTGCTCTGGGCAGATGGGCCAAGGTAACTTTCCCCTTCAAAAAACTCTCTACCGAAGCAAAAATAAAAACTCACAACTCCCCAAACCTGATTCCAAAGATCCTCTTTGGACAACAGAACTGACTTAACAAATTCTTCCTATCCTTTCCAAAACCTTAATTCTGTCCTTTGGGGTGCCCTCAGTGGTGAGTGGGCAGAGCTGGTGTGCCTCAGATGAAAAGACTCTCAAGCCCCTGGTGGCTTGCTGGCCCCTGACACCTGCAGGCTTCTCCTTGGAGTCCTTCTTGCTGGGTATAGAAGCACCTGGCATGACGCAGGGTTCTTAGTTCATGCTTGGTGTTGTTCTACCGAATCCTCATGACAACCATTTGGAAGAGATATTTCTAAGCTTTAATTTTCCTGGTGAAGAAAATGAAGCCAAGAGAGAAGAGAACATCCCCAGGGTCACAAAGCTACCTGCAGCAGAGTCCAGATTCACAGGCGGTCTGTGGCTTGCAAGCACATACGGCATGCCCAGCCTCCTGGACCACCGCGCTGGGATCCCCAAGACCACCCTTGCTGCCTTAATCCTGTCTGAGAAAGGTGAGCAGCAGAAGTGCTCCACAAAGAGTCGAGAGCCCAGGTCTATGTGTGATGACTGCCAGGACAAGGGGGATTCATGGGGCTCCGCCAGGGCTCTGGGTAGCTTGGGTCACTTTTGTGGGAACAGCTGAGCTGTGACGGACCCAGTTAAGAGGTGTCACCTCAGCACTTCCTGTCTTGCCTTGCCTTGGCCTGGATGCCGAAAGCTGCTGACGCCCCTTCTCAGCATCCAACACCACTTCCCAGAATTAACATTTCTCTGCGCTAAAAGCAAACACACGTATTCCCGCCCCCCTTTAAATTTGTTTTGCTAAACAAATTAATCTAGCACCAGATTATATTATGAAGAACCATAAATCTTTTCCAAGATAAGCATCTGTCGAGTTGGATTAGCAACATCCAATGTACTGTGAATTAATTTACTGAGCCTTCTAATGCTGTCCCGAGCATTTAACTTTAGTAATAACAAATGTAATTTGGAATAAATGGGAACTTGTTTTCTCGTCCGTGCCTATATAGTAAGTGATGTGTGTAGAGGGGATGACAGTAAATGAATGCAGCACTAAATTCTATTATGATGATGGCTTGCGAGTTTATTGAGGTAAAAACAAATGCTTTTGTAAACTGCTTTCGGGCACCTGGCACAGATGTGATGGACGGCAGGCTGTGTGTGCACAGGTTCTGGACAAAGGCTGGCCAGGAGACAGCCCGCGACCCCCTGCAGACCTTCTCCTGCTGTGCTCCAAGCTCACAGCCTCCGTCCCTGGGTCTGGCTCTGGCCCCTGGCGCTGAGGTGGAGCTGGGTTTGCTTTCTTTCATAGGTATGTTGCTCTCTAGGGAAGAATTGCTCAGAATATAAAAACTGCAGTTCTCTTGTCCAGGTGAAGGAAGGAAGTAGGTCATGGAACAAAAGCCACCCACTCTATGAAAACCTATCCAACTCCCGACCACGGCCAGATGCAGCCTCATGCAGATGCAGCCTGCAGGAAGACCTATGCCGCCAACAGACCCTGGGAGCATGTCTCTTCTGTCCGGGGTCCTGAAGAGGGCCTGCATGGGGACTATGGAGCCCGAGGCCTTAGGACGTGGAGAAGCAAACAAACAGGGCGTGGGGGAGGCCACGCGGCACCCCCACCCTTCATGCCGACACCCCGGACTTCACATCCCATTTTAAGAGCTAGCCAACCCTGCGGCTCGTCTGGGATGTGCGTACCCAGATCTGATCTGTGAACATCCTGCTCCTGGTGGGGCGTGGGGTCGTGGCCTGCCAGAGGCCAAGGGGGCCAGAGGTGGGCTGGAGCACAGGGGTCCCGGACTCTGCGCATGCCCTCAGCCTGGGGACGTGCCTGTGGCTAGCCCTGAAGGGACGGGCTGTGGCCTGGGAGATTTTCAAGGGCCACTCCTTTAGAAGCAACTGGAAGAGGAGATAGAGGAGGAGAAGAAAGACAGAATGACGTTGCAGTAGATATTTCGAGGTAACTGTCCATATGCACCCAGAGCGATGGGCAGAGGACCCAGAGCCATTTGTTCTGACCCCGTCCCCCAAACACCTGCGACAACGCCTCCAGGGAAGATACTCCCCAACCCGAGCCAGTCTGCAGAGCCTCAGCAAACAACCACAGGAAGTTCTTCCTTATACCTGATCTCCATCTCTTCTGCCACTTAAAGTGATCCCTAATTCTGGGCCAATGTGGCCGTCGCCCCTCCACAGGCCACAGCCTTGAAGGTTTTTGGGTACTCTACTTGGGCCCTAATTCCACCAGCAGGTATGTCCGCATCTCACTCCCAGGCTGGCCCAGAGGTCAAGGTTCTACCATTCGGGAAGACGTGGCTCTGTGCCTGGCGGGGTCTGGACGCCCATGACACAGGCAAGGCGGGCACAGCATCTCCTTCTAGGCCACTACTAAGGAGAGACCCTGTCCTGTCTCCCTGCCACCAGCCAGAAGGGCTTGGCTAGAGCACAACCTGCAAGTCCACGGACAACACATGCCCCCTCTGTCCCCAAGGCCGTCACCCAACCGTCAGCACTCTGCCGTTGTTAGGTTTCTGCCGCTGAGAAATGGGGAGGCCTGCCACGCAGTGTCACCGGGCACAGCACGGCATCCTTCGTGAGCCACACCCCCAGGGTGTCCTCCCCCCACCAACCGAACCCCAAGCAGAAAAGAAGTGGGTGTACCTGAGGTCTCCCCCAGAATCCGTGGGGGCTTGACGTCTTCACCATCGTCTTTGCTAGGACTGGTGGAAGGCTCCGTTGTGCTAACCCCAACTGGGATTCTATTCCTGGGGCCCAGGGGCTCAGTGACCCCCTTAGTCTGCAGCGTCGTGGAGGTGGCCGTGGTGGCGGGGGCGGTGGTGGTGGCCACAGTTGTCTTCCGTGTCTGTGGGATGGAGGCCGTGGTGGGGCCGTAGAGCCCTGGAAATGTGTTGGATTCCGGGGCCTCCTCCTCCCCCGTGGGGCCCCAGGCGATGAACTCCGTCTCTGTGGTGGGCCTGCTGCCCCGGAAATCAAAACTGTTGAAGCCGGCCCCCTGCAGGTGCCTCTTCTCCCTCCACAGGAGGGCCTGCTGGTCCGTGGTGGCCCCGCTGCCCACTGCGGGGGATGGGGACGTCGAGGAGGAGCGAAGGGAAGGGCTGGATTTGGCAGCGGCTGGGGGCTTGGCGAGCCCCCCTCTGGGCACCAGGGCGGCCACCTGGTCCCTGGGTCTGTGCGCCCGTTTGGCGCGCGGGCTCGGCACCTGCCCGTGGCTGCGCTCCACGCGGGCCGGGCGCGGGCTCCACACGGGCACCGGGATGCGCGCCGCCTGTCCGCTCTTCAAACTCCACAGCCGGGGCGGCCGCTGCGGCGGCCGGGGCAGGAGCCGGAAGTCGGGGCCCGGGCCCAGGGACTCACACGAGGGCAGATCCATGGCGAGCTGAAACATGGCTATAAGTATCCAAGCATGGCTTCCTAGGGAGCAGCCCGGCCAGTGGATGGACATGGAACTGCGTGGAAAAGAGAGAGCAGTGTCAGGTGGGGGCTCTGGGGGCTCCGCCGGCGGTCCCTCCACCCCCGCCATGACACGGAAGCACTCTTCTGGTAATGAGCGCTAATCCTAACTTCAAAAGGGAAACCGAAACCCTCCATTAGCTGACTTCACAGCCCTGCTGGAGTGCCACCTCTTCATCAGCATCTTAGAAGCACTGTCCCCATGCACCTGCTCCCAGGAGCCGGTTCCCCTGCCTACACCTCACATCTCTTCCCAGGAGCATGCAACGCACATGGCTGGGTGACATGACGCGGGAGGGAAACCGAGTCTCAAAACCCCCAGCTCAGCCGACAAGATGATCTCAAACACCTTCTGTTCCCCCCTCAGCTTTTGCCCAGAGTTCATGAAACAGAGACAAGGAGAGAATGTGAGGTAAAACAGCAGCAGAGCTGGGGGCTCGGGTCACCCCTTGCGTCCAGGGCTGAGGACCTTCCTCTGTGTCACAGAAGTTACAGACCCAAGGTGTGTGTCTCGGAGCACACAACCTCCCTTCCTGAGCCCTGGGAGGACGGGGGTTCCACCCTCCGTGTGGCTGGGCCCGCCAGACTTCACAGGGGGCCCGAAGGCCAGGCATCTCCCGAGCCTCCGCCCCATGCTGTGGTCCGCAACCCCACCCCCACCTTCTCAGGCAAATGTGCGGATCTCACAGCAGGCTGTGGCCTCGGATGCTGTACGCTAAGAAAGCTTCTTATTTTTGGACTCCTCTGGATTTTGTTCAGGAAAATGAGATCTGCTGTGGATAAGCTGGAAGTTTATTGATGCACCAACCCTACCCAAGTGCTGTTCTGTTGACATTTCAGCTTCCCCTATTTATCTTCAGCACAGGTGCCCTTTGAAACCCCATCATCCACCTGCTCAGCTCCAGGCTCGGCTGGAGAAGGGCAAACCCCACACGACCCGGGGAAGATGGTGGAGGGTGGGTGCACGGAGCATCACGTGAGCACTCAGAGCACGGCAGACAGACCCGTGGAGGGCTTGGTGTCCCCGGGGCCCACGCTCCCTCACCAGCTTAGGTAATTGAGGACTGGGTACAGGCGCCATTCGAAGTCAGTACTCGTCACTGGCGTCACGTCTGAAAATTGACACGGATCCAGAATGTTAGTGGCTGGTGCGGGTGGGGGCGGGCGAGGGCGTTGGGTGCGCCGAGCCGCCAGCCTGAAAAGCTGCTCAAGACCAGCCCCATAGAAAAAAAGGCTTGGCAGTTTTTCTTTATGAGGTTTCGCATGACTTTAAAAGGGAATAAATCAGCGAGTGAGCAGTGTGCATGCATGCACAGGAGTGTGTCTCAGGACTGCAGGTGGCTGATGTGTGATAGCGCGTCAGTGCCTATGAAAGACCAAATGTACAAGTGGGTGTGAGTGTGTCAGCAAGTGTGTAAGAGCACGAGTCCGTGGGGGTTGTCCGTGTGCCCGTCTGTCACATATGCGTATTTGTGCATGTGTGGGTGTGGCTGAGTGTGGGGTCCATGTCAGTGAGTGTGTGTGAGCGTGTCGGCGAGTGTGCAAGAGTGTGAGTCTGTTGTGAGGCGGTCTGTGTGCCTGTCCATCATATATGCATATGTGTGTGCATGTCCAGGTGTGGCTGAGTGTGGGGTCTGCATGTCGGTGCACGTGTGTGTGCATGTGTCTGTGTGTGAGCCCCCCCTCATTCTGCACTGAGCTCCACGTGCCCGGGGCCGCCTCTTCTCTGGTGGGTACTTAGGCACGTGCCGCTCCCTGCCTGTCATCAGGATGTGGAAAGGAAGAAACTTGTATTAATGAGTGCTAATTACCGAAAAGGACTAATCCCCAAATAAAAAGGGCCCAGTTTTTTAATCAGAATGAAAGTGCTTTGCTGCAGAAATTAGGAATCGCTCATTATGCTAATGCCTCTGCACCGAGTTTCTGCCGGTGTGCAATTTCTCTGCACAGCCCGCCAAGCTCTGTGCAGGGACCAGGGCCTCTGTCACCACACACAGAAATTTAGGTCAGTGCGAAACATCCCCGTGCCCACGGAAAGCACAGCTCCTGTGGCCACAGGTGGTTCAGTGAGGATGGATGGTTTAGACCCTCTGGTTCTCCCACCACTCTGCATGTTTGGATGGGAGTCCAGCCCCCAGGAAGTGGGATACTTCTTTAAGCAAGAGTGGTGCTCAGCCCAGAAGGCCCTACCAGGCCCCACCAGGTCCTACCAGGCAACACCAGGCCCCACCAAGAAACACCAGGCCCTACAAGGAAACACTAGGTCCCACCAGGTCCTACTAGGCCACACCAGGTCCCATCAGGCCCCATCAGGCCCCATCAGGCCCCATCAGGCCCCACAAGGTCCCAGCAGGCAACCCCAGGCCCCATCAGGTACCACCAGGCCTCACTGGATCCCACCAGACAACACCAGGCCCCTCAGGTCCCACGAGGCAATGCCAGGCCTCACCAGACCTCACCAGGCCTCACCAGGCCTCAGCAGACACAAACAGGCCCCACTGGTTCCCCCAGCACTACCAGGCCCCACCAGTCCCCATCAGGCCCCACCTGGCCCCACCAGGCACCACCTGGCCCCACCAGGCCCCACCAGGTACCAGCTGGCCCCAACAGGCCCCACCAGGCCCCACCAGGTACCAGCTGGCCCCATCAGGCCCCACCAGGTACCACCTGGCCCCATCAGGCAGGCTGAATGAAGAGCAGCCACAGGCGAACCCGAGTGCCTCAGTACTTGGAGAAATATTGCCCCAGGAAATTAAAACCGCAGACCCCAGCCTGTGTTTGCTTGCCTGCCCCAGCATAACTTCACATACAGGATATTTCTGTCATTTTTCACCAATCATGAGCTGTAATTGGTTACCATAGAAACCCCCTCATTTCCACGCCACCCGGCTGTTATGCAGAAAAACCAACCGATTGCAAGAGCGGGGAGAGCTTGCTTTGTTTCTCTTTGAGTCCAGTTTCTTCCTTCTTAAAGTGATGGATTGGTCCAGAGAGGGAGTATTAGGAGGGCGTGGGGACAAGTCAGGACACAGGCTCCTCCCCACCGCCAGCCGCTGGGACACGCCGGGCCCCAGCACAGGCAAGCAGAGCTGATGCCAGCCCTCCCCAAACCTTGAGGGCATCCACGGGCCCCATAACAACACGCCCCCACCTCACACCACGAGGATGATTATAAGCACGAAGCCAAGTCCAAGTGCTGGCAAGCACGTGGGGACATGGGAACTCGTGCGCACTGTCGGTGGGAACGTAAAAGGGTGTTGCCGCTACGCAAAACAGCTCAGCAGTTCCTCAAAGACTTAGTTCCCGGAAGACTCCGCCTTTCCACTCTTGGGTATAAACATGAGTCCACACAAAAATGTGTGCACGAATGTTCACAGCGGCCTTGTGCCTGATAGCGGAAAGCAGAAACCAGCCCCAGTGCCCATCAGGTGGATGGATCAGGAAGATGCTCTCTGTCCCTACAGGAGAACGTTCTCTGGCCTTAAAAAGGACAGAAGCATCAACACATGCAACAACGTGGATGGAGCTTGAACACAGCGCGTGAAGGAGAAGAAGCCAATTACATCAGGCCACATGTCGTCCGAAACGCCCGGAATCGGTGAATCTGTAGAGACAGGGAGTAGATTCCTGGCTGCGGGGGGCTGGGGGAGGTGACTACTAATGGTTATAGGATTTCTCTTAGGGGTGACAGGAATGTTCTGGAATTGATAATGCTGATGGTTGCACAACCTTGTGAATACATTAAAACCACTGAACTGTACCCGATGGGGGGTGAATTTAGGGTATGTACATGGTAGCTCGAGAAGTGGATGTTCAAGGGTGGAGAGACCAGCCTGGGGTGGGTTGCATGGTGTCCTGCTCTGGGTGCGGGCCCTGGCAGGTGGGAGGAAGGAGAGGGTGCCCAGGCTGGAGCCAGCGTCTGAGCTGCGGGCACGGGGCAGAGTGTGCATGAGATCTTTCGGGCTTGTGCACAGTCCTCACAGGGGCCCGGTCTCGTCTGCCCTGCAGGGCAGCGTCCCAGCTCCCCCTCCACCACCAGCCTCGTGCACATCAGGGCTGTGGCACCATCCCCTTTATTTTCTGGTTCACAGCTTTCTTGCTTCTCCCCCTTTTAAATTTTTATTGAAAGCTTTTTTTTTTTTTTTCCCTAAGAACACTTTCATATGATTCAGTGGATTGAGATTGAATTTGCTACCTTCTGTATATTTTCTTCACAGAAGAAAACCGTGGTCAATTAAGGGAGACAAAGACTTGTCTTCCACTTACGGTTGCACTTTTCCCCAGGGGGCTCACAGGCCAGGCCTCCCGCAAGGGCCCAGCGCCCACCTGCAGGAACCCCCAGGGCGGTGGGACTCTGGGCTGGGCCGGAAGCTCCGGCGAGCCCTGGGATCTTCCTTGCATGGCAATGAGCCCCCTCCACCCGCCCCCCCACACACAGTCCCAGTGCTACAGCCCCGAGGAACACCCCTGCCCCCAGAGTGTCCACTTGTCATCAGCTGGTCTGGGACACCAGCCACATGATTCTGTGTGAGGGAGAGGTTGGCTCACACCTGCTTGGGATGGTGACTCTCTCAGCTATGTCCCATCCCATTTCTTCTGGCTATGAATCGGGTGAGTTTTGGAGAGTTATGAAAAGCAGGTGTCCCCCAGTAGTGTGCGCTGTGCTTAGTGACCTGCTTCCCAAAATTAGCACATGGAAAGGGGAGGGAAGTCACTTTCCAGTGGAGACACCTGGCACGCAGGACCTTGGCCAGTGTCAAGGTCGCATCCGCAGTGGTGAGTCATGAGAGCAGGCACTCCTGACGTGATGGGGAGGGCACTGCGCCTCCTCCCGAAACCCGTCACCCCGTCTAACAGTGAGAAAACCACCCGACAAATCCCGATGGAGGGACAGTCGACAAAATCCCCGACTAGTCCTCCTCGAAACTGTCAAGGTCATCAAAAAACAAGGAAAGCCTGGAAAACTGTCACCACCAAGGGGAGCCTAAGGAGATGG